ATAGATAGAGTTGAATATCCTTCAATCATTTATTTAATACCTACTGTAAAATTAAGAAAAATCAAACAATATTAACAGATTACGTACGATAACTTCTTAATTTCAGCAGTAATGTATGCATTGTACACAAGTGTATAGATTGCCGTCCTTTAAATTCTGTTTGTACGTAACACACATGCGTATCAGTAACGAACTGGGATGCATATAAAAATGTTTATAAAGCGAGCATACAGTACTGCACGGCGGATTCTAAAAAATGCAAGCGAAATTCTATTAATTCCAGTATTGCACATTCAAAAACGAGTTTATGCAATCAACAAACGTACGAACATTCCATCAAACATTTCACTAGAAAAAAAACGAATTTATACAATATAGAGAGTTACTCACATCTCATTCTGCAATAAACAACGTCATGCGTCAGAACTAGGAAATACGTGTTGAAAAAGATAATAAACAGAACTTATAATAATTATTAATTGGAGAGAGACCCAAACGTTCCAAGAATATTTAGATATCCATTACTGTTTCGTTCATTCTTTTGTCTGATTCTTTAGTTGATTTTATACACAATTTATGTTACTCGGACATTTATTTGAATCATTCGTTTCAATTTTAATGTATGAGGAATTCATATCAAATAAACGGATCTTTAACCATACATCAATTTCGCTCATTTAATTAATCAAATGATTTCAAATTCGTCCTCCCTTCCCGCTACCCCTGATGCTCGAAGCGTCGACTCCCAACTGGCTGCGAGTGGAAAGGGAAACTCCGATACCCGTCCTCAATCTGGCATCTCCACTAATACGTATCTATAAACGTTTCTAGGTATGTCTGGTATATACAATCAATCCCTTGGCCCAGGCATAGCCAACTCGTTTCTCCCTCTTCTAATAGCAATTCCCACCTCGTGCAGTAGTCACGGTAACTCGGCGGATCATAATACGGTCATACTACTTAACGCGTCCTCACGGCCGTGTCGCGTACGCGAAGCTGTTCTTATACATAGAGAGTACAGAAAGTGTTCGAACGTAACTGCGTTGAGTTGATTTCCAATCAAGTTTGATTCCCAATTCAAATACATGTATAAATTAAAATATGAAAATGAAATGTAACAATGTAATATGAGAATATTGCGGATGTTTCATATTATGTTATTATTAATAGGTCATTCATTAAATTGTCTTCCATCTTCGAGATAATTGCTCATTCGTTTAATTCATTCCTTGACACCGTTTCATACTTATTCTTGACATTAAAGTGCGCACTTTTTATGGAATGAGCTAATACACTTCAGAAGCTACGATATAGTATTTTCTAAATAAGTTCTCTGATACTTGGCACTCTCATTCATTCTCGGAAACCCTTCCGAGCCATAACTCTGGAACCGCGTGCCGCAGTGGCCCCGATCCCTTATTAATCACCGCCGCGATCCCCTATCCCGTACAATTACAAAACATTTCCGAAGTTACCAGCTACGATCCGTGGCAACTGCCCCGCGTTGCATTCTCATACACCCTTCTCAACCCATTCCTAAAACTTCTGCCAACATTCACCGAGAGCCGGGCCGAAGAAGAAGCGGAAGAAGAGAAAGGGGTTTCGGTAGTAAAAGCCGAGCGTTTCGAGGTGGCAGTTTCTTGGCCTCGGTCGAATTTCGCGGCAGGCGATAAAATAAATCCACGATGGGCTTTCGTGAGTGAGGACCGGAAACGGGATCGTGCCTATCCGAGGGACTCCGTTATCCGGCACCCTTATCTCGTTTAAATATCGTCTTAATCTTGTGAGCCTGGCCCCCCTCTTCGTAGCTCCGAAAACCTGCGGCCTCTTAATTCCGGGCGGCTTCGTAAACTTTCAGGCCGGCCCTGACAAATCGCCAGCCACACGGATTATCCGTCGACGAAAAACTAATTAAGCCCGGAATACCATGACCCCGCGTCTCGAGATATTCACGCTGGCGCGGCGCGCAGTGCCATGCCACGTGTTGTGTGCAACTTTCTTCGAGGGCGTTGCATCGTGTCGCCTGCTGGCAACACAGGAAGCGGGGTGTGAGGGCGGCAGCGATAGTGTACTGGCAGAAGAGTCGAAGAACGGAGAACAGGAGGTGAGTCGACTTTGGTTCCTCGTCGAGTATGGTAAACGGCGAAGGAGAAAGAGGGAGGGGTCTCTAGTCTAGTCGCAAAAAGCGAAATCGCTCCGCTTCTATCCGCCTATCTAAATAGTTGCTCGACTCCATAAATTTGCCTGCTTAATGCCAACTCTCATGCTTGTTATCTCTCTCTCTCTCTCTCTCTCTTTTCCTCTCTCTTTCTACTTCCAAAGGGGTTATACGAGCCGCGTTGGGATTCAGGGTATCAGAGACAAGGTTCCGGGGACAGGTAGCGAGCGAATGAAATGCAAAATGGTTGGATGGTAGAGGGTGGTGGTGTTGGTAGAGCATATCGTGGGCGGACGACTTCTTCCCGGCTGGATTAACGCTCCTAATCCAAGCTTTTGTTCGAGGACCTTGACTACCTGTTCTTCGAATCAGTGGTTACCCCCAATGGATTAGTTTTTCATTTACAATGCGTGAAATATGAATGATAATTAAATTATTATTATATATATAATATGTATTTAAAGTTTTTCAGTTACATCTCATTGAAGTGTATAGGCTGAGTAAATTCTTAGATTTCCTACGCGTTATCAAGAACCGACACACAGATTTGTGTTAATTAATTAAAAACTTCTATATCGAATAAACTATTTAGCAATTTGTATTGGAATGGGGAATCAAAAACCAAAACTCATTTGGTTACTAGACCGCGTGAACGTCGGTGTCCGGAACAAAGATAGAGATTTGTGGGTAGTTTGGAAGTGGGACAATGTACCTAACTGATGTCACAGAAGTCCTGCAAGTCATCCACGGAGAAGCGAAGGGGAAGGGCCTGTAATCTCGAAAGTTTCGATCGTGGCGCGGGAGCTCCGAAGAGGTCTGGTTAATGAAACACGAAATAATTAGACCAGAAGCAACTTCCATCGCGCGGATCGATCGCCGTAGTAATTCCAGCTACTATCTACCAATCCGTTCGTTTCCTCTTGGCTTCGCAACAACCCTTAAAGCGATTAAGATCATTTCGTTGAGCGCATAACTATAACCGGGATCCCAGAGATGATTAAAAAAGTAATGAGTAAGCCGAAACCGATGCCTTCCCTGGCTGGTCTAGCAGGATGTGCCCAGCTAACCGGAAATAACGATGCCAATCGATACGCGTTGACAAATCATCGGGATTCTTCAAACTTGTTCACCGCTGTTCGTTCACAGTTTGGAGAAGAATTGATTTAGTAAATATTTCGTTCATTTTATTTCAGCTGAGGTCATACATCTTTAACTAAATTACATATATGCACATGTTAGGAAATAAACTGATAAAAAAGTATGAAATCATTTAAAAGAAACATACACGTAACTCACGATCGTAATAAAGAAAAACCATAGTTCCACTAAAACTTTCCTCATTCTTTTTATCTACCACGCGGAACATCAACCTCCTGAAACATTTAAACTTTTTCCAACTTATACGTTTCTTCCTCTTCGAGATAGAGTATCTGTGCCAGGAATAATTAGCGCAACCCTTTTTCCTGCACCTGGTGTGTCACGAGCACTTAACTCTCGTCAGCTCGAACGAGATTAATCTTGCTGCAGGCCTCGATGGGGGTCGAGCGTGATGGCAAACCCAGGACACTCTGCCGCACCCTTTAGAGGTGACGAGGAAGAACTTGCTCCTTTCTGATGGTCCAATCACGTCCGGCTTTTTCCTCGGGACAAGCTGCTTCCTGAATTCCAAACACTGATCTCGAAGAATCGCCCCCCCCACTCCGATCTAGACTCATTT